GCTTGCTGTCTGGTCCCCACTTCGACGTTTTTTGCGCTTTACCCTACTCCTGCACGTGACCCACTGTGGAAGTACTCAACTCCGTGCGTGTTTACAGGAAGGGCGAGGATGATTGCCTTCGCAGGGGAATTATCTTCGCTCGCGTCCATGTTCCGTGGCAACAATAGTTCTTCCAGGAACGTGACCAGGACACGATGTCTGGTGTTGTCAGTCTGTTTCGTTGCGCCATGCACTCGACTTCTATTTTGAATTGTGAAGGCATTTGAGTGCGTGTTCAGCCCATAATAATTCATGGTGCCTCAGCTCCTTCCAAGTCCTTGTTTCCTTCCTCTCAAATGAACCTTCTACCAACTAATAGATTCCTGCGGCAAAGCATGAATGGCACGGGTGGGATTCGATTTAGATTCGACCCAGCAGGGCATCCTCCTTGTAGCAGCGTCACCTTCGAGTACTTCTCTGTCGGAGAAAACTCTATTAAACGGATATTTCTAGTAACTGGTCCCTTAAACTTTAGCTCAAAAGCAGCCTCGCTTTCTGGAGACATCTGGAGATAGCCCCGAGTTGACCCACTCAAATCTGTCCAGAAATACGTAAGTTCAGGCAAGTAACCTGCGCTTGTTCAGTACCTAATCATTCTTCAGCCGGCTGTTTTTCACCCCACAGCAAAAGGAAAAATAGCCACCGCTGTCGCTGCTGTTGAGTGCTTCGCACAGCCACACACCCTTCGTGTCCTGTAATCGCCCTTTCGCTGTAATCTCGCTATAATCGTCTGTTGTCATTGAGCAGCAAAGAACATTTCCACGCCGCGCTCGGTTACGTAACTCTTGCAAATGCTTGGAACGCCTGATGTAACCCTGCAAAAAAACGCGATTTATGCACCTAGACCGAAATTGAAGGCTGGAGCACGACTAAGTGATGAAGGCGTAAAATACTCGTCGTTGGCGAATCCTTTTTGTGATGAACCTGAACCAGGCTCCCAATGCTTAGCGGCAATCAACAGTTGTGGTTAGTCGTTTGCAATGATTTACGGGGCCGATTAACAACTCGGGGTTTTTGTCATCCCAGACAAGTCTGATACCAGATAGTCCATCCTCCGAGATTGAACTATTGACCAGTCTGAACGCCTTGAGGATGTTTACCCTACCACTCTTACAATTGCACGGATTTCATGAGAAGAGGGGAGAGGTTAGGGTCAGCTGGCCTGTTTACTTGGGCCTGATGCTGGTAATGCTAGCACACTAGCAGTGTTTGTAAGTCATTATTGGCCATCCTCGACCGGTATCGCACACTCGAAGGGGAGCAAAAATGAGCCCACACTCTTGACCACTTGGCTATCTTTGAACCACACAACTCTGATCCCAATTAATCAAACAGCGAAATGGAAGGTTGGGATAACCTGTGCCGTTTTTGATCCAAGAGATGACTTTGAACCGTATACGTTGGTAATGACGCCACTAGCCACTACACCACCTCTGCCCTTGGGCAAGAGCTTGGGACAACAAAACCCGGAGAAGCGCTTAATCAGCCCTTCACTAGAGGAAATTAGATAGCATTTCTGTCAGCTGCACGTCAAAGACGCGAGAGTAACAACGGTACAATCTGACTACGTCAACAGTTCTACCATACCATGAGGTCCACAGCTGTCTAAATATCCGCCAGTTCAGTTCGGGTCGAGACCGTTCATCGTTTTTGGTGAACTTGTCTGAACAGCCCCTTCCATACCATAGAAATTGCCGTGGAATTCCCATGAATTCAGTTGGCAATCGATGAGCGATCGTTAAGCATCGATTGATGGACGAATTAGCCTACCAAAAAAGGGCTGCTATTGTTTGCTGGTTTCGCCGAAACACTACGTGACGGTTTTCCCAGGTCGATAACAGTCTTCGATAACGGCCGACAACGCCCCGGCGCTGCCACTGGTCACGTAGGCGTTCGAAACCGATCCATCAAATAAAAAACTCTTTCTTCTGTGATATAGCGAGATAGGAGCCAAACTTCTGATAGGTCCTTTGACTGAAAGACTAATGTTACGATTATACTCGGAAAATAGGGCAGCGCATGAGTATACGGAGATCAATATGGTCTTTTTAGCTCCCCTCTCCTATTTTTCTTATGTGAGCTGCACTCGATCTATCTAAGAGCTGAAGTACGTATTATGAAAATGTCTGGTTTGAGACGAGAACGGTCGCGGTGCACCGTGCCTAAAATTTCCAGTAGGCATGGGTACAATTCTGCTCGATCCCAATTGACGTATAACTAACAC